CGAGCGAAGCGAACCCCACCCTCGCCCTCAGAAATCGTGGGGGGTAGGGGTAGGGTTCGCATGTGGCCCCCTACACCCCGACGTTGACCATTCGTGGCTGTGGAGCCTCTCCCGCGCGCACGGGCGGGTGTCAGACAACGACGGGTTCGCGGAGGCCGTGCGGGTCCGCCTCGGGGCCGGGGGGGCCGACCGACGCAGGCGTCTGCGGCGCGTGCGGGGTGGCCATGCTCTTACTCCGGTGGCAGCCGCGCCTCCTGCTGCGCGGTGCGCGAGGCCACTCGGGGGCCACAACGCGGTGCGCGACCTGCTCTGCGACTTCTCCCTGGCCGCCGACGATGCCACGGAAAAGGGGCCTCAAGGGTTGACCCCTCCCCGTCCAGCGCTTCGCCCCTCGGATGTGCGGCCTCCCGCGGTGCCGTCGGGCCGCGCGGCGGCGCTGGACGTATAGGACTCACGTCCGTGGAGGCGGCGGGTGGCGGAGAGACGCAGCGGAGGCGATGTGCCAGCGGGAGAGCCGGGGAACGCGAGGCCTTCAGCGGACGAGCTGGCTTCCCAGGATGCCGTCTGCGTGCCTGTGCTCTGGACGAACTTCGGCCGCCCGCACCCGGGCGCGCTCACCGTGCCCTGACTCCGGATCCGCCCTACTTTGGGGAAATTCGTAAGTAGGGCTTGGAATTCCCGCCTTACTTTTCAAGCCCCGCTGATGCCAATTTCCGTCCTACTTTTCTGCTGTTGTGTCCGCCCTACTTCTGTGGATTTCCGCCCCGTTTTATGTTGGGTGCAGAAATTTCCGCCCTACGTTTTCGGCTCCTTATAGGTGGATTTCCGACGCAATTTTAAGTTGGAAAAAAGCCAAAGTAGGGCGGATCTGGAGTCAGGGTGATCCGCGCCATCGCGAGGCGGGTCGCCAGGCGGCGCGGGCACGCGCCTCAGAGGGTCGCAGTGCGCCAGCTGTGGCGCAGCCTGGGCGTTGAGAGATCGCCAGGCGTGCCGCGCGCGTGAGCCTGGCGTGCCAGCCCGCGGTCGAAGATGCCCTGGCCGGCGAGGTGGGCAGGCCTCCTGGGCTCCAGTCCGGGGCCGCGCGCGCGCGCTGGCCACCGACGCGCCTGGTGCCGCAACCCTCCCCCTTCTCGTCTCTTCCCTCCCGCCCTTGCCTCCCCGAGGCGGTACGCCGGCTACCCCTTCATGGTTTGAATGGTGGGCCTGCCTTCGGCCTCCTCTGCCCGTCTTTGCCTCGCTCCCCCCAGGTTCAGCCACTCGGAGTGCCACCTCTGAGTCGGATTGCGGCTGCATCGACTGGGTTATCTTTATCCGATGCCGGCCCATGCGTTTATTTTCGGGCGTACCGGTTTTACCGCCGGCCGAGGGGCCATCGCGGGGTGCGGCGCAACCTCCCCCCTCTCTTCTCCTCGCCCTCCTTGCCTCCCCCTCTCCTGGTCTCCTGCCCCCTTGCTGGATCGTGGGCCCGATTTCGCGGTGTCCCCAGGATGGTTTCACCCCGCTTAAACACAGGAATTTCGCTGCCGAGAATTACGTATCCTCGGCAACGCTTTTTGCGTTTTTTTCGTGGCGGATCTTCCTGCCCCTAGCCAGCCTGCGTAGTTGTGATCGGGGACTTCGGGCTCCTATCATTGGGCTCGGACGGGGGTCGGGGTGCCACGCTAGATCGCACTTCGCCTCGCACAGCGGCAGCGAGTGTTCGTTGCATGCTGTAGCGCTTCTGTGCAGCACAATGGGTGTCGTCACAGCCCCCATGAAGGGAAGCGGATCAGGTTTCGGGGGGGGTTCACCGGAGTGTCAACGCCTACGACTGCTAGCGACTGGACAAATATGAGAGAGGGCAGAACTCCCGTAACGCGCGGCGCTGACCCGATGCGTCGCGCGGCGCTTTTCGATTGCATATCGCTGGGCACTGGGGCGCCACATTCATCAGATCTGCACATCTCCCTCCTCCATCTCTACAGCCGTCGTTATGTTTCCTTCGTGTGTTCGTGTTGCCATCCTGCCAATGGTCAGTCACAGGAAGGATGCCGCAATTGGGAACATGTGACTCATACTTCCCCGTGCAGGTTGGTTGATACCACAGCTATATGCATATATTACCGAGAACCTGGCGTGTTCGCACACATTCGTGCCATAAAAGAGACAGGCGGACAATATATATATATATATATATAGGGCAAATCCCGTGCATATTCACCGTACTGTGATGTGTTTGCGACCTCGGATCGTCTGAACGCCCCAACGAGACCAAGAGAAGGGAGGAGGGGGCGATCTACGCTGGCATTGGGTTTGCCTGGAAGGGGGAATCACTGACCATATGCATGCGCAGAGAGCGCGACAGGGAGAAAATTACCCGAGACATACCCACCCCCTTCTCAACGCGAGTCGACTCTCCAAAGGAACGCTCAAGTATTACACATTGCAAGGACACTCTGCTCCGCTGGATCTCCCATGAGCCCACGACAATGGCAACACTTGCGCACTGCGCAGCCCCCAGGGAGCCACGAGGTCTCGTCTCGGGCTGGGTGCGCTCGAACGACGCTGAGCCTCCCAGGAGACCACGAAAGTGGCGTCACTTGCCAGTTCGCAGCCACCAAGACAGCTGCGAGGTCTCGGCTGGGTGGGTGCGCGTACTCCCCTACTCCGCCGTACCTCTCAGGAGCCCACGACCGTGGCGAAGCTTGCGCAGTTCGCAACAATCCATGGAGCTGCGAGGTCTCGGCTGGGTGCGCGTACACCCCTACTGCGCTGTGCCTCCCAGGAGCCCACGAAAGTGGCGATGTTTACGCAGATCGCAGCCCCTCAGGGAACTGTGAGGTCTCGGCTGGGTGTGCGTACACACCTACTCCGCCGTGCCTCCCAGGAGCTTGCACTTGCGCAGTTCACAGCCTCCCAGGGAGCTGCGAAGTCTTAGCTGGATGTGCGTACTCCCTCACTCCGCTGGGCCTCCCAGGAGCCCACGAAAGTAAGTGGCGACAGTTGCGCAGTTCGCAGCCCCCCGGGGAGCTACGAGATCTCGACCGCGTGCTAGCACTCCCCTACTCCGCTGGGCCTCCCAGGAGCCCACGAAAGTGGCGACGGTTGCGCAGTTCGCGGCCCCCGAAGGGGCTGCGAGGTCTCGACCGCGTGCTAGCACTCCCCTACTCCACTGGGCCTCCCAGGAGCCCACGAAGGTGGCGACACTTGCGCAGTTCGCAGCCCCCCAGGGAGCTGCGAGGTCTCGACCGCATGCTCGCACTCCCCTACTCCGCTGGGCCTCCCAGGAGCACACGAAAGTGCTGACAATTCGCAACCGCCCTGGGTGCTCGCGAGGTCTCGGCTGGGTGTGTGCGTACTTCCCTACTCCGCCGTGCCGCCCAGGAGCCACTCGCGCAGTGCTCGCAGCCCCCCCCCCAGGGAGCAGCGAGCTCGCGGCCGGGCGCGCGCGCTCGCCTGAGCCACCGTGCCTCCCAGGAGCCCACGAAGGTGGCAGCAGCTGCGCAGCTCGCAGCCACACAAGGGGGGGAAGCGAGGTCCCGGCCGCGCGCGCGCAATGCGGGATGACGATTCATAAAAAATTGGGGAGAACGATTAAAAAAAAGTGTCTGCTATTTCTGCACGATTTTCTGACTGGAGGAGAACGCTTGAATAAATAAATTTCCGGCCCGCGGCCGGTTTTTTCTAATCGTCGTCCCGGGCGCCGCCGCGTGAACACGACCCCTGGTCATTTATTAACCGTCATCCTCCATCACTCCCCTGCCCCGCCGTGCCTCCCAGGGGCCCACGAGCAGGGAGCCGCGAGGCCTCGGCTGGATGCGCGTGCTCCACTGCCGTTGCCGTGCCCCCGAGAGGAGCCCACGGAAGCGGCGCAGCCCTCGGCCACCCATATGGAGCAGCGCAGAAGCAGGCCGGACCAGGGCGGAGGAGAAGGCGAAGGAGAAGCAGTGGATACCACAGTGCTCCATTCAGCACGAGAAACCCAACACAAGAGGGTTAGAAAAAATGGGGGCATCCCTCCAGCCTCCACAAGACCCCCCCCCTGTCCCCCCTGTGAGAGCTTGCCCAGCGGCCTGATTCTTGCGAGCGTAACTTGGGAATAGGGAGCGAAAAATCGCCTGCGAAGGGGAAACCTCCCCATGGGACCTCTCCCAGGACCTCTCGCGGACCTCTCCCGGGTGCGGTTTGGCCAGGATTTCGAAGCGAATCTAGCGGTAGCGACGAGGGCATCGCAGGAGGCCCACAAAAAGGGAAAACGAGGGAAGTGTAGCGGTGCGGCCTCCGAGGACGCAACGCAGCGGCAGCCGCGGCAGCGTCCGAAGCACCAGCGGCGGCTTTGGTTGACCCACGAGGGGTCCAGCTGAAAGGGGGTGGTGCAGTAGATTGGGGACAATTGTATTGCAAGTGCACTGTGCCAGAGAAATGCATTGCATTGTGCTGCAGCTGGTGCATTGCACGCGGAAGTCAAGCAACACACTTCGCGCACTCTGGAATGTCTTGCACGCCCCAAACGTACTGCTGCAACCCCACAAATCTATCGGGGATGGACAGACCTCCCTTTAGTAAAACGTGGTTCAGTGAAAACGACCCGAGGCCCAAACCTGGCGGGCGCAAGCCTGGAAAAGAACGGCCACGGCGCCCTCTCGAGCACCGAAACCGGACAATTCCCGAATCGACGTGCCACTGTTGGGGGTTCTGCCCACCCCCGACAAATCCATCGTACCGCCCTCTCTTTTGGACGCCCGAAATGGGTACGGAAAGAATGGGTACGATGCCCAACATCAAATGTTGTCCCGAACCAACAGCGGCCGCTGTTGGGCAGGCGGCCTTCTGTCTCGAATGGACACAGGCCGCGGCGGCGTGGACAGCGAGTCCTGTGCAAAATGAACAGGAACTGCTGCTGGGCATCGTACCCATTCTTTCCGTACCCAGTTCGGGCGTCCAGATCTCTTCGCTGGGCCCCCCGTGGGGTCCAGCGGCGGCGGCGGCATCCCCCCGCTGAACGCCCGAGCGCGGCCTGCCTCCGGGCGCGCGGGGGTCTCGCCGCAGCTCGAACGTCCGGTACGCCTGCGCGGCGGCCCGCCGCCGTCGCTGCCGTGGCCGCGTGCCGCCGCCGCCGTCGGGCGAGGAGCGGCCGGCTGCGGGCGGCCAGCCGCGACCTCCAGAGCTACTAGCCATCTCGGGCAGGAGACTTCTCCCGCCCTTCCCTGACTCCAGGTCCGCCCTACTTTGGCTTCTTCTCCAACTTAAAACTGCGTCGGAAATCCACCTATGAGAGGCCGAAAAAGTAGGGCGGAAATTTCTGCACCCAGCATAAAGTAGGGCGGACATCCACAGAAGTAGGGCGGAAACAGCAGCAGAAAAGTAGGGCGGAAAGTGGCACCAGCGGGGCTTGAAAAGTACGGCGGAAATTCCAAGCCCTACTTACGAATTTCCCCAAAGTAGGGCGGATCCGGAGTCAGGGTTTGTCCGAATGGCCAGGAGTTGGCCCCTGACCCACGTGTCGTCTTTGAGTCCGCCCTGTCTTGGGCGCGCCCGACGTTGGCCCCATGGCTCACATGCTCGTTCCGCGTGCGCCTCTTTCTCCTTTCCGGATCTCCATGCCGCCACGCCACTCACCAGCTCGCTGGGGGACACGACCCGGCCCTTCAGAGGGCAACTCGCGGAAGCTCGTGCGCTCGTCCCCCCCGCGCCCCAAGGAGCGCGCCCGATCCGGCGCAAAGGCGGGCAGCGCGCCCCTCCGGCACTTCAGGGCGCCATGGGGCGCTCCTGGCCACTTTCTGAGCCCTTTTTGGGCGCCGTTCGCGCCGCTACTGGGCGCGACTTGGGTACAATTTGGCACGGTTGAGCGCTATAGGCCGATCGCGAATCTACAAGCAACCCAAGGCGAGCAACAAACCTCCCGTGATCTACTGTCTGACCAGGGCGTCCCCGCGACGCGGCGCGTTCGAAGCTTCGCGGGCGAAGCGCATATCCGTATCCGCGGCCTCGCGGGCCTTGCCCCTGTGCCGCGACCCCGCGGATACGTGGCGTCTTCTCGGAAATGCCCCGCACGGAACGTATCCGTGCGACCGCGTACCGCGGGATCGCGCCCAGGAATCCAGACCGCGAGGGCGCGGATACGGATACAGTCGGACCTAGGACAGAAGAACATCCTTCAAGAACATGCGACCCTACGCCACGCAAACTGTAAAACATTCGAGGGTACCCTCCCGGCATGCACAAGAACTTTCAACAAACACGAAGGACATCAGAGTACCCTCCCCGAACCAACCTCGATCTTATACCTAGAGGCCTCCTACGTGGGGTCTGAGTAGATGGGGTCGGAGGATTGCGCCGCATCGCCGATGCACTGGCGATGCATCGTGGATGCATCGGCGATGCATGGGCGACGTCGGCGATGCATCGGCGACGCCGACGTGGAGAAAATCGGCCTCCGCATCGTGCCGCATCGCTGATGCATCGGCGATGCAGCGCGATCCTCCAACCCCATCTACTCGGACCGCACCTAGGAGGCCGAGAATCTTACACGGCTTGGAGGAAATCGGGATCCAGATCGAGCCACGTCGCCGATGCAGCGGCGATGCGGCGCCATCCTCCGACCCCATCTGCTCGGAGGACCCCACCTGGCAGGCCCAGCTATGCCTCGGCCCGGCTGCCTGCTCGCCGCTCGTGACATCTCCGGGGCCGCGCCTGCGCTTCGGAGGCACTCCCCCCTCTTATAAAACAGGGCTATAGGGTCGGGATACATCGCTCCAGAGCCTTCCGGAGCGCTCTCGGAGCGTTCCGGCACGGTCTGGAGCGGCCGCGGCGCCCAACACATCCTCCAAACCCGCCGATGCTCAGAGATTTCGAGTTATCCCGATGCGATTTTGTCCCGATCCGATCTGAGGGGGAGGGGGAGGGGGAGGGGGAGGAGGAGGAGGAGGAGGAGGAGGAGGAGGAGGAGGAGGAGGAGGAGGAGGAGGAGGAGGAGGAGGGAGGAGGAGGAGGAGGAGGAGGCACTTCCCCCTCTTAGGCTCCCCGGTCCTGCCGCGGGCCCCGCGGCTGGCGCGCCGGCTGCCCGCACGGCTGTGCCTGCCGCCGGCTCGGGGGGCCGCCCTGCTGCTCGGACGGTCTGGTGGGCTGGCACCGCTTGCGCTGACAAGGCCCGCGCCTGCTGAGAAGCGGGCAATAATTATATCCACATCCAGTGCGTCTTGGAGCCCTGGGCCCTCTTCCCCAGAAACCGTAGACGCACTGGATTATGGATAAAAATCTGGCCCCAAGAGGCTTGGTTTTGTCCATATCCAGTGCGCCTCGGCGTTGCGGCACCTCTTCCCGAAAAGTCCAAGACGCTCTGGATATGGATATAAGTACTGCCCGCATAAGAAGCAGGGGTGCTTCTACAGTGGGGGCCGATCCACAAGAAACGTTCTACAAAAAAAACGACCCTGAGGCTCCAGGACGTCCATTGGTTTTTGCTCTTTGGTGTGGGAACGTCACGATTTCCACCGCAAAACCATCGAAACCCAGGAAGCCCAGGGCACCCTGGAGGCAAGCAGGGTGTTTCTTGGCAGGGGTCTCCACTGTAAGAAGCCGTCCCCACTCCCCCCAGATAGCTTCCCCTGCGCGTGGCCGACGTGCTGCGGCAGCTGCGGCAGGTGGGACGACAAGCTGGAGGAGGCGAACGGCGGGTGCGCCTGCGGGAAGAGTGGAGCGGGCTCCCGAGCGCCTGGGACGCAGACGGACACAGTAGCACTAGGCGCCACCCATGGAGGCGCACGCTCGAGACCAACGTGTCGCACACCGTGACCCAGGCGGTGTGGCCAGAGAGCGCACGCCACCGAGCATGCACGAGAAGGGGCCGTCGCGCGCGCGGTTCTCCTCGGAGGCCGACGCACGCGCAATTCATGCAGACGTGCCTAGGTGAGGCCGGCTCCAGTCCGACGCGGAAACATGCCAGCTTGGCGCTGGCCCGCGACACGGCCATGCACGGCCCGCGTCTCAGTTAGCATGGGAGCGCAGCCCGCGTGCCCGCAAATCGTTGAGGTCGGCCACGGCGACAGCGTTGACGGTGAGCTCCAGGCCGACCTGCCGCCGAGAAGCGCAGCCCGCTGGTCGGGGAGGCACGCGGCCGAATGCGCGGAGATCTGCGCGAAGACGCGGTGCGAAGCACTTGCGAGCCGCCCGCAGGACCTCGGAGCCACAGCGGGCACATCGCTGCGCTGTAACGTGCGCGCGTCTGCGATGCCAGCCTTCGCGGCTTCTGCAAGGGCACACCACTGCCTGAGTGTGCAGCTGAGCGCGGGGGCAACGAATGGACACATCGATGTGCAATCGCTGGGCATAACCACGAAGAGGTCACGACGATCTCCATCCATCACGGCCTTCTGCACGGCACCGTTGGACGTGACACAAGTGAGGCCAGGCACAATGTGCTCGTCGATGTCCAGCTCCGCCCAGCGATCACGAAGAAGGCGCGCCAGGATCGCGGCGAGGGCCAGACGCGGCCGCATCCGCGCCCGAGGCTTCAACGCACACAGGCAGCTGACCTCAGGTACCTCTTCGCAGTTGCCGCTCCTGCGCTGAAGGCGACAGGCTGCACCCACCGGCGCGCGTAGAGCCCAAAGCCTGCACACGGAGACCGCGCGGAAGCAGCTGGATGGGAGCACCTCCGACGTCTTCGCGGGCAGCTGGCAGCCACAGGCCCCCCCCCGCGCCAGGGCCTCTGGCGGACAGCAGGCCCTCCCCGCGCTGCTGGCCGGTGGCCCGGCTGCTACAGCAAACGCGCTGCCGGCACCGCACCCACGTGCCTGAAGATCTGGTTCGCTGGTCGACGCAGCGCTCCGGCTGGGGCGCGGGACGCCCCCCCGGCCGCGAAGACCCGTCCGGGGCCTCTAGGAATCGGCTGGGCGCGCCGAGGTGGTCGATTGCCACGTCTTCCGGCTACGGGCCCTCGCCGCACTCGGCCAGGGTGCCGTCGGTGGACTGTGACCTTCACGCCGCCCTGCTTGCCCAGCGCGACACCGGAAGCTTCGAGGCGCTGGTGGGCCGCGAGGGCGCAGAGGCCTCGCTCGAGAAAGCCACGAGCGCGTGGGCAGGAGGAGCGCCGGACAGCATCGGGACACCGTGGCGCATCGAATGACGGCGCCCTCGGCCCCGCGGCGCAGGCCCAAGCCGCCAGAAGCGCTGGAGGGCCAGGTCTGCCCTGTCGCGCCCTCGCCCACCAGCCAGACGAGTGTCGCCTGCTGCACTGCCTCCTCCACGTGGCCGCGCGCAGGCTCAGCCGCCGCGCCCGCCAGCGCGCTGGTTATAGGGTCGGCCACTGCAAGGGTGCCAGTCGCGCGCAGCAGCAAAAGACGTGAGCAACGGATGCGGGCAGAAGCGGCCAAGTATAACTATCACCTCCAGCAGTGCTACGAACCTCTGCGCCGGCATCGTCATAGCGGAGATGACTTACCTGGGCCCGCGGTGGCCGCGGCGAAGACATGCCAAGACCTGGTCCGCATGGGGCTCTCACGAGAAGGCTAAGCATTGAAGCCGAGGCTTCTTATCAGAGTGAGGGGGCCGAACGCTCATTCACTTTCCCTGGATGCGTGGTTGATGCGGTTCCGCGGTGCGGATTGTTCCTGCGTTCCTGAACTCTCACTCTTGAAACAATTGGTTGGCCCCCCCCACCGGTGCACATGGTATTTTTTCCATTGAAGTGCCCCGCTCGGGGCTCGCACCCAGTTTCTTCATCAAGGAAAATCTTCATGCTCAAACTGTGCCCCTGGCCCCCCCCGGCTACAACACAAACGGCTCCCTCCCGAGACCTCCTCACCAGTTATTCCAAGATCGCGCTCTCGCGCGGGACTTCCTCACAATGAATGCAGACATCGCGCTCTCTGACGACTCATTTGGGAATCGCACTATCGACCGAAACTTCCTCGCAATTCATGCAAGACTCACGCTTCAACAACCCGCCTGCTCGACCTGGCCGCCTGGGCCCGCCTTCCCGACCCGCCCGCTTGGCTCTGCCAGCCCGATCTGCCCGTCTGGTTCTACCACGTGTTTTCTGCCCCTAGTCCCCCTCCTGCTAAGTTCTCTTGTGCTACATCCTTTTCCCTGCCCATTCCATCCGTCCCCTCTTCCCCTATTACAGGGGCTGCACTAACTGCACGTGGCAGGAAAGGACGATATGCCCCCAAGGGTTAAGATCGAAGATGAGAAGGGCGGGTACCGAGGGTTTGGGACATACGTGTTGAATGGTACGCGAGCAGATAGCAACGAACACGTTTAAATGTTTGTTGTTGTTGCCGTTGCCGCTGCTGTGTTGAGTCCTCATTCCTGGAGAAGCATTATTGTTGATCCCCATCTTTTTTTGATCGCACATGACTTATCGGCCTGTAGAGGAGCAGCGCCAACTGGCAAGCAAGAATGCGTGCACCACCGAATTCACACTCGGGATCAGTGCTGATCCTCTGGCGCAGCTGCTTCACATGCAGACCACGCAAGGGAGGCGCCTCCAACTAGGACATAGTGGCCCAGGCGGGCTAATAATCACTCACTGCACCCGCCAACACTGTACAGCCTGTTCGTGGCTGAAAGATCCGAGGAATCCAACGAGGGTGCTGCGGTGCGCTGCCAACCGCCGTGAATCCCCCCGCGCGGGCTGCCGCCGTCTGCCCCTCAGGCTCGCCCCAGAACGCCGTCGCCCGTCCAACAGCGTCACCTCCGCGCCCACGCCGCGCGAATGGCGTCGTCGTCCCTGCCGCCCCTGCGGCCCGCTGCGCTGCGGCCCCACTCGTCCGCCTCGGCGCCCGGGCTCAGCCGCTTGCCGAACACCTCCTCCATCAGGCCCGTGGCCTCTTGGTGGTCCCCAAACGTGGTGGTGAGAACACCCGGTGGTGAGTTTTGGGCGATTTGGGTAATGGTTTTCGAGCGCTGGCTGGCCCAGGAAACGCAAAACTTCGTGACGACCGCGTGTCCCCAAACCCGGTGGCGACCCAGAATCATTTTTTGGGGGAATCGGGGTCACCACCGGGTGTCTCACCACCTGGTTTGGAGACCACCACGCCTCGCTCCATCGGAACACCGGCTCGGACAGGTCCGGAGCCACGCGCGCGGGCAGCGGCACGGGCCAGAGCCAGGCCTCGGGCCCGAAGACCTCCCGGAGGCGCGCCCGCGGCGTGCGCGGGGGGCCGAAGAGGCCGCGGTCGGCCTCCAGGGGCGTCGCGTTCGTGCGCAGGCAGCGCCAGTGGTCCTTCGCGGTGTGCCACAGCTGGTCGAGGCCGCGGGAGCAGGCGCGTGCCGCCAGGGGGCCGCAGACGAGCGCGCCCAGGGGCGGCCGGCGCTCGAGGAGGCCCCGGGCCAGCACGGTGCCCGCCGAGCCCTCCGCCTCCACGAGCGCCACGGCCAGCGCCGTCAGCCCGCTCGCCGCCCAGGCGACGAGCCCAGAGGCCAGCAGGAGGAGTGACGCGCTGAGGGAGGCGCCGCCGTAGAGCAAGAGGAGCAGGAACGGCTTCTGGTTGCCCTGGCCGACGCAGTTCCCGATGAAGGGGCAGTGCGAGTGGCGCTGGAAGATGCAGACTCCACATTCGCGGCAGTGGTGCGCGCGCGAAGGCTTCCACGGACGCCCACTGCAGAAAGTGCAACACCGCGGATGCTGCACGTTCGCCGGAGGGGCCTCGACGTGGGGCACGATGCCGGGGTCTGACAATAGTGCCGATAGGTGGGCGAAGCCCATGGACGCCATCCCCGCCGAGTAGGCGCCCAACAATGCAAAGCCCGCACCCGTGAGGGGCACGATTTGCCACCTTGCGACCTCGCTGTCGTCGGAGTGGAACCACGAGAAGATGACATACCGCACGGTCGTCAGATAGACGAAGGTGTACACTGGCCACAACATTGCCGGGAAGAGCTTCGCCCAATTGAGCTCGATACGGTAGTCAGCCAGAAGCGACTCCACATAAAATAGCTTGTGCGTCAGCTCCGCCCAAAACATTTCCACATAAAGGTGCCACATGCCGGGTCTGAAAATGGCGCCGGAGAGCCAGTCACCGTACATGACGCCCCTGAAGAGGGTCGGGTGACAGAGAGCGTGTATGAGCGCTTGGAGAAGAGCGAGCGCAAAACAACGCTATCTTGAGCTAAAACTGCTAACATTGTTGATCCCCCCTCTGGTGACCATGGTGTTGTTCACTGATGGTGCTCCTCCCGGGACTCGCACCTGTTTTTTTACAAACGTATGCTGGGTGTCACCCAACTGCGCCCCTGGCCCCCGGTTTACAACAACAACAACAACAACAACAACAACAACAACAACAACAACAACAACAACAACAAGCACGACAACGACAACGACAACGACAACGACAACACAACAACAACACCAACAACAACAACAACAACGACGACGACGACGACGACGACGACGACGACCTCAACAACTACAACTGCTCCCGCCTGCTACTTCCTCACACTTGATTCCCAAATCGGGCTCTCGCGCGGGACTTCCTCACAATGTGTGCAGGAATCACGCGCTCGCGCGGAACTTCCTCGCACTCTATTCAGTCGCCGCGACCTCGACACTCAGGAATCACGCTCTCGCTTTTGTAGTTCTGACGGGTTACTTGGGAATCGCGCTATCGATCGAAATTCCCTTGCAATTCATGCATGACTCACGCTTCTGCAACCCGCCCGCCCTTTGTTCCTTCCTTCCATCCGTCCTCTCTTCCCATGCCTTAGTGGCTGCACTAAGTACACTCTGCAAGTAAGAAAGACATACCCCTAAGGGGGTACGATCGCAGACGAAGAGGGCAGGTATCGAGGAATTGGGATATACGTGCTGACTGGTACGCAAGCAGATAAGAGCGAAAAATATTAAATTGATTGTTATTGTTGTTGTTGCTGTTTGTTGTTATTTGTTATTGGTGTTTCTATTGTTTGTTATTGCCGTCGTCCCACTCGCGACCCCACCCGCGACCCACCTGCGACCCGTCCACGACCCGTCCGCGACCCACCCGCGACCCACCCGCGACCCACCCGCGGCCCGCCCGCGACCCATCCGGGACCCACCCGGGACCCACCCGTGACCCACCCGTGACCTACCCGACCCACCCCGCGAACCACCCGCGACCCATCCCGCGCCCGCCCCCCTCAGTCTTATCAGCAACTGGGGGGTGCTGCATATAATGATCGATATAATCTTCATGCTTCGTCGCATCGTTTCTTGATTTCGGCAAGTTATTCGAGCTATGTCTGATCATTGCCCCGTATCAATGTTCCCACGAACGCAACAAAATGCTTGTAAACAGCACCCGCACCTCCTCACGCCATTGGGCACTACAATATGCCTGGGTGCACCACTCGTAAATCTTGTGACCACAAGAATGCGACTACAAGAATGCGGCCAGCCACGATATTGTGGTGCACCCGTGCGCTCCAATGGCGCTGGGGGCCCAGAGGGGGCGCTGCGGGTTGGCGGGAGGGCGGGGCAGGGGGGACAACAGAATACGCGTTTAGGCCCAGGCTGCTCAAGGACTCCCCCACGCAACACCGTGACGCCGAGTGCCCGGGAGAGCGGAGCGAACACCGAGAGGGCGAGGCGTAGGGAATGGGAGGACGGGGGCCGAACGATTGGGGACGTGTCCGTAGAGCGAGCGGGGAGAGCGTTTCGCCTGAGATGCCCTAAATATGTACGACCTTGAAGCTGGAAATTGTCTAACAATTTCACTGATGGGCGGCGGCCCATTCAGAAAACATAGAGTTCTCGCACTAGCGCCGCGCACCGTTTGCGCGAACAGTTCGCAACAGCTTCAAGGATGGAGGGCGGCTCCGTTGCAAGATGTGTCTCTTGCAGTAGCGCCGCGTGCCTTCGTCTTGAATGTTCAGAACAGTTTCAAATATTCGTATGGCTGAAGTCCCAAATCTGGTGTTATGGTACAAGGCTGGATTGCCAGGACGCAGCAATCATGCTGACTCGCGGTGTTGCACTTCCAGGAATGGCTTTTTGGGGCGGTTTTGGCTTGTCCGGACGCACCAGTCACACTGATTCCTAGCGTTGAAGCGCCAGGAGTGGTGGTTTGGAAGGATGTTTTTGTGTTCAAGACGGTTGTGTGTCCAGTGGGGCATTTCCCGACGTGAACACAAATCCTGCTAGGGACCTATGAGGGGTCTTGGGGAGTTGATTGCAGCAACGTTGCTTCATCTTGGGTTTACGCTGTCCCTTCTTCTCCTCCTCGCGTGTGGGGAGCGGCCTGGGTGTTGTCCAGCGTCGACGTCGTTATGCACCATAGCGCCCTCGACTGGACGAGAGCTTCCGCCTCGCCCAATCAGCTCCTTCTCCTCCTCCTCCTCCTCCTCCTCCTTTGCCGTCTCCCTCTCGCTTGACTCACACCAGGCCGCCGAAACACACACACACACACATGCCGCCAGAGCCACGTTCGGAGCATGCAGGGAGACCACGCGCTGGACGCACACGCGGAGGGCCGGCGATGCCGTCGCCAGGAGGGCCAAGCAGAGCGCAAGAGCGACGTGCCCCCCCTCTCCCTCCCCCTGTGGTGCGGCAGGGCGGGCACGGCGCAGCATCTCAGCGGCGTGACAGGTTCAACAGGGGGCATGGACACTGCGCAGCCAGGCTGGTAGCACAGGGAGCGCTAGACGAAGAGCAACGCGCTGTTCGTGATTCACGAGCGCCTGGGTGCACGAGGGGTTCTTAGAGGAACGGCGATGGAGGGACCTACGGAACACGGAGCCCCTTTCGAGCTCTCACTATTCCTTCTTTCAGCGTGTTGACTGTAAGCTGTGTGGGTCTTGCGTCGTCGCGCGCCTTCCAATATGCCAATGCCAGCTCCACCCTGCCTCGTCGAGAGAGCAAGGCAAAATGTTCTCGCCCCCCCTGGCGGCGTGCAGCAGTGGGCAACGATGAGGAGGACGGACTTTCCTGAGGGCACGGGGGCCTCACGGAAGGGCTCGCCTCCTCAAAGCCTATGCGACCAACGTCCTTTGAGAGGAAGACGGGGGTTCGTGGGAGGACGTGCCCATCGACTTGCCCCCACTGCGCGCACCGCAGACACCCGAAAGTGAAATTAAGCAGACCAGGGGAAACGTCAGGGCTGGAATGGCTCCGCGGGGGACACGTCGAGCTGGAAACCGCGGACACGTCGCCGAGAGAGAGCACGGCGACAGGCCCCCGACGGGCGAATATACGTATGCTCCTGGGCAGGGGGAGCCATCGGGCCCCACACATCGGTGATCCATGGCCAGTGGGGGGTCGATGCGCCCCCCCCCGATCCCTCCCCAGCTTGGCGGCGAGCGAGGAGGCGCCGCCAATGGGGCCCAGCGCCGATCCAAGAAATCTGCACGGAGCGCCAAAAGTTTGTGTGTATGCCGTTCTTTCGTCTTCGAAGGAGGCCCGAATGTATCCAGATCCACCGCCTGTGGAGGCTCGCGAAGACCGACCCCCCAGTCGGTGGTCGTGGATGAATCTCGGCGGCGAGCGAGGGGGGGAGGTGAGAAGGAGAAGGCCTTCCCAGGAGGCTCGGACGTCCCCCCGGCCTGCTGAGCAGCTGTCAGAGCCTTCCCCGAGGACAGAAACAACTTTCTCAGACGGCGCGAGGGCCTGTGAGAAGTCACGCCACCCTCTGAGAAGACCCTCTCCTTCTCATTTCCCCCCTCGTTCGCCGCCGACTATCGTCAGGTCGGGCATGTCCTCCTACAGACGGGTTTTGGAAGACAATGAAAAAAAAAATCAAAACATACTCCACCAACAAATGCTCGACAATCGTCCCCCGACTACAAATTTGACTATCTGTGTATTCTCCTCATGTAGAGGGACATGCCCGCCTTAAGACGAACGTTGCCCCCCGAGAGATGCAACGCTCGCCTCCGGCACCGCGTTGATGTAGCCCCAGATGCCCTTCTCGCGAGCCCAGCGGGGCAGCGGCGCCGTCTGGCGCAGGGCGGCAACGGGAGAGGAGCGGCTCGAGGGGCGGGGGTCCGCGAGGCAGGCGCGGGCTCCTCACTCCTTCTCCCTCTGTCCCCTCTTCTCACTCCTCCTCCTCCTCCTCCTCCTCCTCCTCCTCCTCCTCCCTCCTCTCTCCTCCTCCTCCTCCTCCTCCTCCTCCTCCTCCTCCTCCTCCTGCCTCCTCCTCCTCTCTCCTCCTCCTCCTCCTCCTCCTCCTCATCACCATCAGCATCAACATCATAATTATCATCATCACCATCATCATCATCATCATCATCATCATCATCATCAGCATCATCATCAGCAGCATCAGCAGCAGCAGTATCATCATCAGCAGCAGCAGCAGCAGCAGCATCAGCATCAGCATCAGCATCAGCATCAGCATCAGCATCAGCATCATCATCATCATCATCATCATCATCATCATCATCATCATCATCATCCGCCGCCTCCTCCTCCAGGCAGAGCTGAGAGAAGACTCCTCCTCTTCTTTCTCCTTCTCCCGCTCCTCCCCCACATCCCCCCCTCGCCTGCGGCTGCTGCTGCTGCTGCTGTCTGCGTGTACTTCTCCCCCACCCTGCTACTCTATCTGCGGCCCTCCTTCTGCATCAGCCATCAAGGTGGGACCTTCTCGCGAGAGAGATCGAGAAATGCGCAGCAAAGGTTCGGCTCCCGCCGCTACTCGCACCGAGTGGCTCAGAAGCCCACGTTTCGAACTGAAGGTTCACTCCAGCCAGGCTCCTGAGCTACCGTCTGGTCGTCATCTATATCTCGCTGGGGGTTGGGCCCACACAGTTGCATGATGAACTAAACCTGCGGTGCTGTTGTGGGAAAAGTCGGTGCTACTGCGACTCCCAACTCAGGGATCTCGCCAAGCCAGGTGGGACCCAAACCTAAGACAGGGAGTGCCTACCCTGGGCGACTTGAAAGGGGCGTGTGGCCGAATGTGCTCCGCAGGACTGAGCAGGCGGCTCGGGAATAATTTTTTAGCGTTTTGGCTTCGCTTCGCGATCGGCCTCGTCTTATCTGAACCTGCTTCTTAGAGGGCACCAGCCTCTCTCTCTCTCACACACACACAAAGAAGGCCCTCGCCTTCGAAGAAGCACCCTCCTCCTGAGCAGCCTTCCCCCATCCTCCTAATTACCGCCCTCTGCGCGTGGACGCGCACGAGCGGTTCTCGCGACAAGCACCGAACCACTACCCAGAGGTGACGGCATCCGAACCCTGCCGCCCACCAGCCATCGATTCTCCCGAATCGATGGGCGGCGGGGGGGAGGGTTCGGACTTCGCACCGTGTTCGACGAATCCCGAACACCCTAGCCCCGCCGCCCATCGAGTCGCCTAAATCGTTGATCGGCGAATGCTTGGTTCGGATCCACCGCAGATGCCTGACACGGCATTGGCAAGACAACGGACAATCGAACCCACCACGGGTGGACGGGACAAGCCGCCGATCAGTGCAACACGTTGAAGGGCACCTCGCTCCCCGGCCACCTATCCCTGCCAAGACCGTCGACGGCAGGACGGACGCATTTGGAATGACGACGGGACGTCAGCCCAGCAATTCACACACCCTCCTCGAGACTTGAAACAATGCAACGGAAGGTTGTTTCGCTGTTTTGGGCCACTGGGGGCCCCTTACTGGGTTTCGGGACAGTGAAAAATGGCTCAGGATGAAAAACCAGCCTGTGGAATGGGTCGAGGTCGACGTTATGAAAAATCATGTCGAGGGCCTAGAGGGCCAACATTCCTGGGGAGCCTCTCCAGCTCGTGAAACCAGCAAGCGCGCCCCGTTGTCCGGGTCCTGCTGCCTTCGGTGCACTCCGGGCCCCTCCCCTGCCGCCTTGGCCCGTTCCATCCCTCCCTGTCGCTAGCGCCTGCTGCTGCCGAGAGGCTGAAAACACGTTTTCCGCCGGCGGCGAGGCAGAATGGCTGCACCAGCAATAGAGCTAAACGGGGGCACCAAAAAGCGAAGTGGCTTGCGTGCAGGAGGGGAACAGCCGGACCGGGCGGCCGCGGAGGAGGGAGGAGGAGAGGCCACTCAGAGGCGGAAGTATTCCGACCTGAGCGCGCTGGCGAAGAGGCTGGAACCCCACACCCCCGTCGTCATGATTTGTTGCATGACGTCGACACCAGCAGGTCTCGACCCATTCCCCGGGACCATTTGTTCATCCCGAGCCGTGTCTTGACGCGGTCCCGAGACTGGTGAAACACCTCCCGTCATGACCTTGTTCATTGCTTGAGGGGGGGTCTGGGAACACACACGCGTGGCCGGATTCACGTGTGGAACGGGTGGAGGCCACACGCTGGATACGCAGGCGATGAGCAGGGACCGACCGTCCCGGCATTCCTATAGTCCTACCACGACATGTTCTTAGAACCCAAAAAAGTTCGAATAACAAAAACAATGTTCTTAGAACATAAACCCGACGTGCTAAAACAAGACAACCTCCACCAGCCATGTTCTAATACCATTTCGTGGAAACCACAAGAGGTTCTCAGAGCATTGCTTGGCAGGGCTATAGGCGAGCCAGGACGCTTCGCCACTGCCTGAAGGCAGAAGCCCACGACCTTCATGGCCACGCAGCTCGGCTACACGCAAGAGTGACCCTGGGTAAGAGCAAGAGTGATCCGGGGTAGGAGTGACCTTTGGCTCGCACCAAAGGCCACTCCGGCGAAAGGTCACTCATTGCGTCTAGTCGAACCGCTGGGCCGAGCGCCAGAGCGAGGCGGCCGGCCACATACTGTGCGCACCCGGCTCTCGCCCGGGCTGGCCGCCTCGCATGTGCAGCTGCAGTACCCAGCTGGTCATCGTGCGGACGTCCATTCCCTGTGTTTTTTTGTCGGTTTGGTGCGTGGCTTTTTTCCGCCAAATGATCGAGGATGCTCCTCGATGGTCCTCGCCGAAGGAAAACATGCACACGTCCAGGCGATGCCGAGTTAGGGGCTCGAGCACAAGAACTCCCCCACGAGGAGCCCAAGTCCTGAGGCCCCAGGACGCCCACTGATGTTTGGCGCGGGGGCGTCACGCCTCCCATCTCAGAGCCCTCCGGACCTTTTGGCGTGGGGGCGTGAGGCTCTCCATCGCAAAGCCCTCGAGACGCAAGACGCCCTCGGGCACCCTGGAGGCAAGCAGGGTGCTTCTTGGCGTGGGTCTCCACTGTACTTCGCGGCATGCAGGCGCTGCCGTGCCCGGCAGATCGACAAACGAGTGGGCTCTGCCCCGAGCTGGCAGGGCAGGGCGCGGGTGGCGCCGCCAATGCGCCTTGAGCCCGAGGAAGGACTCGTAGATGCGACGCATCTTCGATGTCTCCGGCGGGAACTCGTGCATGTGGTCCTCCCACCACCTGGGCGGAATCGGCTAGGCAGTGCTCCGCGTCCCACATGCCAAAAAGTGTACGGTAAATCAGGGCGAGGTGCAAGCCCAGGCAGCCAGCGTCACAAAGACATCGAGAATTCAATTTTGACCTCGTGTTCTGCCTCGGGAGGCCAATTTCGGGCTTTGGCACCATCGGCAACCGACCAAGGATGAACCACAAGTGGCGGTCATGCGGCCGAGATGTCCGAGGGGCCCACGCCACGAATCACAACAAAATGTCTGGAATAGCTGAGCGAAGTTCCGCAAGAAAACCTCGTCTTCAGTGGGCCGCAGGATTGTCGCCTCGCCCTCAGCAAACGGCGGCAAGTCCTCCGAAACCGGCGGAGATAAAAATAGTCGGCAACAAAACTTGCCCCCTCTCAGCATTGGCGTAATTACCCACTCCTGTTAGGAGTCGGCAGACTGACCGACTCAGGAAGCCCCGAACACTCGGAACAAACAACTCGCGAATTGGGGGGGGGGCATTCGCCCTCGCCTGAGGCCTTGGGTGCCCCCACCTCGGCTTCCGCAGGCCTGCCGCCACCCTCCGCCGAGGAAGAGAAGGGGTGACTCCTCCAACCTGACTGCCTACCAAGCCACCCCAGCCCAACCCGAAGGCCCGAATTTCGGGTTTGGGGGGGGGGGTACGGGCTTCATGTGTGCTGCTCCCGTGCTCCCCGACCCCCCTCCCCACTGGAAATGGAGGGCAAATCGTACGGGACGTGAAAACGACCACAGCCACTGCTTTTCTTTTGTTGCCGCCTTCCAGCCAGCAGAAACAAAGCAGTGGTCGTGGTCATTTTCGTTAAGCTTGGCACCAGGGAAATGACCACAACCACTGCTTTTTTCGGCCGGCTGGAAGGCGGCGCAAACAAGAAGCAGTGGCTGTGGTCATTTTCCCGTCCCGCAATCGGGGCCTTCTGGTTGGGGTGGGGTGGCTTGGTGGGCGGTGACCGTTCGTCGAGGGCGGCGGCCTCGACTGCGTCCCCCCGGGCCGACTGCGCCCCCCCCCCCCCCGGCTTGCGTGCGCCGCCCGCGGGGCGGGCCTGTACGCGGACTGCCGCGTGAAGTTCTCCTTGCCGGGGGGGGGGGGGGGGGCGCGCGGCTCGCCCCGCTCCCGCCACTCGGCCCCCTCCTCTCCTCCTCTCCTCCTCCTCCTCCTCCTCCTCCTCCTCCTCCTCCTCCTCCTCCTCCCACCTCCGGCTCCTCCTCCTCCTCCTCCTCCTCCTCCTCCTCCTCCTCCTCTTCCTCCTCCTCCTCCTCCTCCTCCTCCTCGGCCCCCCGTCTGCCCATCCGACGAGGGCCTCCCGCGGCAGCTCCTTCGGCTGCCACGCTGCCGGCTCGTGTCCGGGAGCGCTGCAGCTGAGGCCAAAGAGGGGCTGCAGCACCCCACGCTCCATCGTGGCAGCGTCTGCATGCCGCGCCCTGCCGCGTCCGTGGATTGCACTGAGGGCCTGCTCGTGGAACGAACGATCGCAACCGCAAACAGCGCAACCGCAAACAGCAGCAACCGTCCCCTCACCATCCCCCCCCCGCCCACCCGCCCAGCCCTCTGCCCCCGCTCGCAGGCCCCCCACCCCCCCGCGACCTCTGCCCCCGCTCGCAGGCCCCCCCCCCCCCCCCGCGACGCAGTCACACGTGCCGCTCCCGGGGCGCCCCGTGCCCCTCCGCGGGGCACGGCCGCGCAGAGACCCTCTGCGGGCACGGGGGGGCCCAGGCCGGAACCGGAGCTCGCGGGCCCCGAGGCGGTGGAGGGCCCATGGGCCCTCCTCGGCGCCGCCCTGCTGGGTGCCCAGCAGAACGGGCGACTGCTCCGGGGGAACCCAGATCACCGCTGCCGCTACTCCCCAGACCTCTCCACTTGCCGTCGCTCGGGCGTCCACTCCCCGTGCATGCTTCGGCTGCGCGCGTGTGTCTTATGGCTCGATGGTTTAGGATGCTCTTCGATGGTCCTCGCCGAGAGAAACAACGCACGCGTCACAGCGATGCCAAGCTCCTGGGGTGTCTTCTGACTAGACTTCCGAGGCGAAACCAGCGGTGGCGACGAGGGCCTCACAGGAGGCCCATAAGGATGCGCGGTAAGGATGCAAGGGCCTCGGAGGCCCATGTTGACGTTTCTCGCGCGAGGCTGGCCAGCGAAAGTCGCTGAGGATGGGCCGAAGGGGCAACGATGCAAAGATGCAAGGGTACCCTTAGCAAGCTTGCCCATCCTGACTATGCGGGCTGACTGTACCTACTCTTCGGTCGGGCATGTCGACATGTCCTCCTACAGGCAGCTTTGGGAAGACAAATGAAACATAGCCGGAAAAACTTGAACTGCAGCCAACTAATACGAGAAACATCGTCGCCAGACTATTTGTCGGACTGTTTTGGGAGAGATTCCTCCTGCAGAAGGACATGCCTGACTTAAGGCTACGCTGAGCCGCGCAGGGCGGAGCTATCCCGCCGCATGCTTGCCTTTCACCTGCCTCCCCGCGCCAGGAAGGCGGCGCCCTCCCCACCGCTCCCTCCCCCCCTGCCAGGGCGCGCCGCCGGAAGCAAGTGACCAGAGAAAGGAGGACCAGCCGCTGGAGGCTCGCCTCGGTGCCAGCTTCGCTCCTTCGAGGGGGACAGAGCTCCACGAAGCTGCCCCAGAACACCATTGCAAAACAGAGCAGAGTGCACGTAGTTGTCGGGACTCTCTCTCGCTTGCACAACCGTAGCATTTCGAGGCTGGCATGTTCCAAGGCGGTTGCCTCAACAAAGAAGGAACTGATCAGGTCCTCGAAATAAATTCCGGCTGCGACTGTGGGGACAAACTTCGTCGTGTTGGGAGAATCAATGATTGTGTTAGGGGAAGGGGTTGGGAGGATGAAGGGTATGAGCAATAGCATCTGGATGCCGTGAACGATACCTGCGGCCGCCTGCGGGTAATGGTATCCTCATTTCTCTCCTAGCCCCATCCTCCCAACCCGACAGTTGTTTTCCTGCCAGCTGCACGCAGGAATGGCCCTGGGCAAGAGTGACCTCTTCTGCGCGGCCCTGCAGTCGTCGCGCTACCACAAGGAGCCCCAGAGAAGGAACGAATAGGGTCCCCGACCTGTGCCTCAGGAACGGCTCGAAAATTACTGCAAGGGGGGGCACACATGTGCTTGTTCATGTTTCCAGTATGGGAGGCCTAGAAATGGGCACCAACACCAACACAAGGGGTTGCCTCCACAGGGGGAAGACGATCCTCGATTTCGGTGTTGGTGGCAATATTTCGGCCACCTTGGAAGCCAGAATATTACCACCATCGCCGAGATCGGGATCTTCCTCCCTCGGTGGAAGCCACACTGCCGATATTGGTGTTGGTGTCAATCTCTAGGCCTGCGACAGTAGCGGTCATTACCCGGGGACGGTTAGCGGTAGCGCTTGGGCGGGGTGGGCCACGCCACCGGGGCGGGGACGCTCTGCAGTCGCAAAACAATACGCGCGCGATGCGAGCACCCGCTTAACTGAAGGGGCCCCAGGACACACAAAAAAATACACACAAATAAAAAGATGTCCCATATTTTCCCATATTTTCTAGGTTTTTGTCTTCCCCCACAATTCCCATATTTTCCTATATTTTCTGGGGAATCGCGGATTGATTGTGACTGTGTGTTTCTTTTCCTCCTGATTAACGACTGTTTCGCGCCAGAGGATGAACACACAAGATCTCACATCTGGGCCCAAACCAGAGGGCGCAAGCCGCAGCTCTCGCACCGCATTGGCCGATCGGGAGACCCCCGGTGACCCTGCACTGAGGCTCCCTCCGGCACGGGGTCACTCGCCTGCGTGCAGGCGATCGGTGGCGCCGACACCCGCCCCGCCCGCCTGCTCCCCTCTGAGAGAGGGCGCGGTCCTCGCCGAGCTCCCGCAGCATGCGCGCCCGCATCGCCGTGCACTCCTATCGGGGGAGGGGGCACGAGGAGAGAGGCGGCTTCCGGGGCCGGTGGCGCTCGGGGACGCTCGGGGGATCTGCAGGGCGGCGAGGAGGGGCGACGGGGATGGAGAGAGCGAGGTCGAGATGAGCGGAGCGGGGGGGGGGGGACGACGAGGGGGAGGGCGAATGTGGCGAAGCCCAGGCTGCCCAAACCGCAGGCAAGCAAAGGACTCAAGCACCCGTGCCCCCATTCCAGAAGAAAGGCAGCAAGTATAAGCAGACGCCGGGACAAAGCCTAACGCCCGAAAGCCTCAGCCACCTCTCTGATGAGACGGGAGGAGCGGGAGGGGCGAGGGATGACGAGGGGGAGGGAGCAGAGGGATGGGTGCTTGGAAGGAGGGGACAGTTCAGACAGGCCTGAGCTGGATCGAATCGCGAAGTCGGATCGGGAGCGGATCGCATCGCCAGCGAATCGCCCCGACTCGACTCGGAATCGGGTCGCCGCGCCACTTGGCTCTGGCCGGCCCAGCCTGATGGCGGTGAATCGAGCCAGAAGGCCTCGGAATCGCGGCCCCAGCCAGCAAATCGAATCGCTTCGAATCGGATGGGCGGCCCTTGCAATGCAGTGAAAACGCCCCAGGCCGCCCCCCCCCCACACAGCGCCCTGGTAGCACCGGCACGCTGATCCACCGACATGGCGTGCGCGATGTCTGGCTGTCCCCCTTCCAGCTGTTGGACTACCTACCAGGCCACCCCAAACCAACCCGAAGATCCGAATGTCGGATTTAGGCGGGTACGGGATTCATTTGTGTTTTTCTATGTGTTCCGGCCCTCCCCCACTGAGAACGGAGAGCAAATTGGGGCATTCGGGTTGGGTTGGGGTGGTTTGGTGGGTGGTGACTGCTTACCCTCGCCGCAGCCATGTGTGAACCCCGCCCACGTCGGTAGTCAGATCCTCTGGCGGACGCAGGGCACAGCAGGTGCTCAGAGCTGTCGGGAAGACACAGGCAAGGTGGACCAACACCAGGAGCCCCTGCCAATCCACAGTCGACAGGCGGCGGGGGCAGGGCTGGGTGTTCGTCACTGACCCTCCTCCCGCGAGACCAGAATCCAGTGGCAACTGGATCGCAGCCAGCGCCTCCTTGGCACTCGAAGGCCGAGAAGGGCCCAGCTGGTCACGGAGGCCGCCAAGATGATCTCCCGGGGTGCCCAAGGTGGCAAGCAACAGGCCACGACAGCCTCCACGCCTGAAGCAGTTGGCCTCACCGACCTGCGTTGGCCACAGAGCCTCCCCATGAAACCTCCGAAAGGCCAACGTCCGTGAAGAGCAAGTTCTCTTTCTTTTCTTTTTTTTTTTCTCTCTCTCTCTCTCTCTCTCGACGGTCCTGGCGCCCTCGCCATTCTCCCTCCCGATGGATCTGCAGTCCTGGGGGGGAAAACCCTGGGGTCTCAGCAGCCGTTTCCCTCAGGACCCTTTCCCTGAGCCGCGAACCAGTCGCTGCCGCCTCCGAGAGGGACTCCACACCACCTTGCGCACCCTGCTGCTGCAAGGCTGTGTGCTGATGAATGCTGCGCGCGTGACGGACGCCACGGCGAACCCGACACCGTGGCCACCGCGCTGCCGCGAACCTGACCCCCTCGCCGCGGCCCGGAGCCCGGCTCCTCCAGCGGGCGCATCGCCAGCCCGTGCACCCGCAGCGCGACCACGGCCGCGTCCTGGCGGCCCGCGCGCCCGGTCGCGGGGAACGGCGGGGGAGGGCTCGAGGCTCCGAGGGGGCGGCTGTGCAACGCCACGGGGGGGCGGCCGCGCGCAGGCGGCCGCGGAGTTTGGGGGCAGGGCGGCCGAGGCGAGCCTCCGGGCTGCGGTCGGATGCAGCCAGCCCGCACCACAGGGATGCGCGATGGGGAGGGTGCCAAAGGGCCTCGGACGCTCCTCTCGAGGCTTCTCGAGCGGGGCGCGGCCGACGAGGGCGGCCCAGGATGGACCGAGGAGGCAAGGATGCAGGGGTGCTCTTGGGAAGGCTGCCCCTCGTTGCTATGCGGGTTGGCTGTGAAGGGCATCGATCTGCCCTCGTGCCCCCCGTGGCGCCTTCTGCGAGCTCCCACAGCGTCAAAGATGGAGGGCCCGGGGACAGGGGCAAGTCCGCTCCGGAGCGCGCTGTGGAACGCGCTCGGGGCGTCTCCGGAACGCTCCAGAAGCCCGAGAGGAGGGCCTCCCCCCCCCCCAGGGAGGGGGGCCCTTCTCGGGCCCCGCAGGGGTCACCAGAAGTGTCGATCGGGGCCGGACGTCTGCCGCCCCCCCCTGCTGGGCCCTCCCGGGGGCGCGCGGGCGGCAACACGCAGACACCCACTCTGCCTGGGCCTGCGCGTCACAGGCGACACCTCCGATCAGCCCTGAGGTCGGGCATGTCCTCCTACAGGCGGATTCTGGAAGAAAATTAAAAAAAACAAAAGTTAAGCAATACCCCAAAAATAATAGCAAGTAGTCGAAACGTCGCCCCCACACCGTTTTTTTGTGACTATTCTTGAATACTCCTCCCGACTTAAACCAACCCATGTTCACCCCTCGCCCCGTGCCCAGACGTCCGACGCCCTGATGGCTGCGTGACGTCGGCCGCCCAACAAGCATCTCGACCCCGTCCCCGGGAACACTTCTGATATTTGGGGCACGAGCCCGTGGACGATTCCGGAAACCCTGAACCCAAAAGTGATGTCCTCTCTCCGGGGCCCATCTTCTACTTCCGCCGCCCTCCGCTGCCCCCCCGCCGGCTTCCGCCAGCGGAGGCGGCCTCGTCTTCCTTCCGCCGACCTTCCGCCGCCTTATGCCGCGGAAGAGATGACAACTCCTTCTCATTGCACCGGCCTTGCAGACGTGCTGCAGCGGATTTCTGCGTATGTTTCTGCGTGGATTTTTGCCCGAAGCGGCAAGCGAAAAACGAAGGCAATTTCGCGTGGATTCTTTTTGGTCTCCATTCCTGGCCAAAAAAACGAACGAAATTGCCCTCGATATCCGGAACGACATTCTCCAGGACACCCCGGGCCCACCCGATCGTTTTCCGAACGAAATCCGCTCTGCGATGTTGGCGCCATGATCCTTCGATCCTCGAAGGCCAGGCCCTTTCTGGAACGCCTCACAAATGGGGTCGGAGGCTCGCACCGCCTCGCCATGTGCATCGCCCATGCGCCGGCGCATCGTCGGGGCGCAGAAACTCAGACTCTGGACCGCGCCGATCGATGCATCAGGATCGGGGGAGACGTGAGACTCGGGCACGTGGGACTCGGGTTGGCCTGACGCGGCCACCGTGGAAATGGCGAGCCTGCAATTCGACGCGAACTCCCGATGCAAACGCCCCGCGAAAACTGGACCGCCAAAATCCAGGACTAGGGGAACCAAAAGTGACATGAACATAAAAACTCGGAGGTCCGCGCAGATGTCTCGGATCGGCGCAGGACCCCCCTCCCTGGCGCGCGGAGCGCGCCAGGGGCGGCGCCGGAGGCGCCGCCGGGGGGCCCCAGCGCCGATCAGAGAAATCCGCGCGGACCTCCGACTTTTTATGATTACGTCACTTTTTGTCCCCCTACCCTGACTCCGGACCCGCCCTACTTTTTGGGGAAATTCGTAAGTGGGGCTTGGAATTTCCGCCTTACTTTTCGAGCCCCGCGGATGCCAATTTCCGCCCCACTTTTCTGCTGCTGTGTCCGCCCTACTCCGGTGGATTGTCGCCACATTTTAGGCTGGGTGCAGCACTTCCCGCCCTACTTCTTCGGCTCCTTAGAGGCGGATGTCCGACGCAATTTTAGGTTGGCAAAAAAGCCAAAGCAGGGCGGATCTGGAGTCAGGGAATCCCTAAGATTGTCATCGCCTTTTGGCGTGTCATTCTTGGGGATAGGGATACGTTCGAGGCTGGTAACCCGAGGCTCGACGTGGCGCCGCTCTCCTCGGCTCGCGGCCTGTTTGTCCAGCCTCGGGATGCCTTCCGGGGGCCTGCGCCTCGCCGAGGCGTTCCATCTGGAGTCAGGGCAAAGACGGGCTCGTCGCGCAGCGCCGGCAGACCCGAGCTCCGGCGGGCACCCGAGCCCTGCATAATTAGGCTTCCGCGGCGGGAGGCGCGTGCGGCGCGGCCCTCCGACCCCGCCTGCTGCGTGGCCCCAGCCGGGGAGGCCTGGAGGCCTTCGCCCCGCCCTGTGGGGCGGGGGAGGGGTGAGGGAGCCGGGGTGCCCAGACCCCCTCGAGCAAGGATAAAATCAGGGCGGGAGGTTTTTATGGATTTTCGGCCTCCGGGGGCCCTCCCCAGGCCTCGGGAGCGTCAAAAAACGGCTCAGGATGCAGAGCCGGTCCCGGGGAACAGGTCGGGACCCCTCTGGGGGTCGACGTCATGAAAAAGTCATGACGTCGGGGGTCTGGGTGTCTCTCGGCACGCACTTCCACGGCGCTCCCCCCAGGCTCCGGGCGGACTGCTCCTCTCGGTCCCGGCAGCTGCTCCGATCCCGCCTCGGCACCCGATGGGGCCCGTCTTCGGGACGGGGCACCTGTCCAGGACGGGAGACTCGCCTGGCGGGAGGCAGGGTCTCGAGGCCTCTCTGGGCCGCGCGTGGGAGTGGCCCCAAGGGGGGCCCCAATGCTGGCTGGCGGCCCTGTGGCACACTCGTCGCCGGGGGCCACCTCAGAGAACGACAATCAGAATGAGGATGTGTGCGACACTTTCTTGCGTCGGCGGCTAGGCAGGGGACGTCTGCGCTGGCGATGGGATGCCTGAACGGGGATGCCGTTAGAGCGAATTGCGCCACCATGCAACAGGAGGAGCGGGGGGAGGGCGCGGCCGAAAGAGGGGCGGTCGGAGCGAGCGGCTCAGGGGGGACGGATCGCTCGATGTGTGCGACACATGCTTGTTGTGTCGTGCTGCGTGCTTGTCGGCGCGGCGGGCTGCAGCCTGCTCGAGCAGGAGGTGCGGGGAGGGACACACTATATGCTTACGCGTATGTTTTCTTGCATGTAGCTGCCTCTGCGCTATACGCCAGCAAGACAATGAGGACGAAGACGACGACGAGGCGGCGGAGGAGCAGGAGGACGACGCCGACCACGGGACTCCCCCCTTGGACCTCCCGCCTTGGGCATGAAAGAATCGGGTCCTGCGGGAGACTGGCCCCATGGACCCCTGGGCCCCCTCCCAGGACCAGCTTCTCGCCCCGAGCCGTTCTCCTGACGACCAGGTGGCCCGCGGAGGGGCGAACAGGAACCTCCAGGACCCTCTTCCCCCCCGGCCTGCTTGCTTCAGGACCAGCTATAGCCAGCATCAGAGTTGGAGCTCCGATCGGATCGGGATGTGCATCGAGTCGGGCCGCATCGGCACGAAGCCGGAATCGAATCGCATCGGCGGCGTCGCGATGTACATCAGCTTCTTGCAAGCACCGGGCCGCGTCGGTCCGTCGGAACCGGATCGCACCGAGATCGACGGCTAGAATCGACATTGAACCGGACCGGTCATCGGATCGGGGCAGAACCTGGCTCGCATGGTTTTGGCGAGCCTCTGCCGCGGGGCCGCCGCGCCGCGCGCGGGCGGCAGGCTCAGGCCTGAGAGCACACGCGGCGGCGCTTCGACGGCGCGCCCTCCTCGACGACGGGCTCCGACTCCGCCGACTCCATGTAGCCCAGGTCCCCGGCCAGGAAGCGCAGGGCCGCCAGGGCGCCCTCGTCGCCGCCCGCCATGTCCAGGGCCAGGTCGGCGCCCTCCTCGAAGGCGTCGGCCTCGTCCGCGGCCGCCAGCTCGGCCTCGGGGTCCTCGGCGGCCTCCTCGCGGGCGTTGCCAGGAGTGCCCCCAGGCCCAAGGCGCCCCCAGGATCTTTACAAGAAGGCCCCCACGGTCTCCAGAGGACCCCTCACGAGGCCCGGCCCGAGGGGCTCCAAAGCTGAGCGAAAGGCCCAGGGGAGAGACCCGTGGTCGCCGTCCTCCTCCTGCTCCTCCTCCTCCTCCTCCTCCTCCTCCTCCTCCTCCTCCTCCTCTTCCTCCTTTCCTCCTCCTCCTCCTCCTCCTCCTCCTCCTCCTCCTCCAACCTCTCCCCCTCCCCCTCCTCCTCGGCCCAGGGGCACCTTGGCCCAGGGCTGCAGCAACCCCCGATGTTCCCCGCCCCGCGCCCCCGTGGGGCTCCTCGCCGGCCTCGGCCTCGGCCGCAGCCGCGCCCTCGGCCTCGGCCTCCTCGCCGACCGCGCCCTCCTCCTCGGGCGCCTCTGCGCCGCCGTCCTCGGCCAAGCCCTCGTCGCCGGCCACGTCCTCCTCGCCGAGGGCGTCTGCGCCGCCGTCCTCGGCCATGTCTCCGTCGCCGGCCACGCCCTCCTCCTCCGCCTCCTCCTCCTCCTCGAGCGCGTGCGGGCCGCCGTCCTCTGGCAGGTCCGCGGCCACGCCCTCCTCTCCCTCCCCACCAGCCCCCTCCACGTCGCCGTCCTCGGCCACACCCTCGGCGTCGTCGCCAGCCGCGTCGTCCTCCTCCCCGAGCTGCTCCAGGCCGCCGCCCTCGGCTACGTCCTCGGCCCAGGGGCCCTCGGCTTCGGCAGTCCTGGCCTCTGCGACCTCCCGCATGGCCGCCGCGTACTCCTCGAGGTCACCCGAGGTTGCACCAGGGCTGTACGCGGGCACTCGCGGCGCGTACCCGCTGGCGAGCGAGACGGGCCGGCCGGCCTCGTCCATGGAGGCCTTCAGCAAGGCCACGGCGCACTCGAGGGCCTGCTTCTGCTCGCCAAGCCTCAGGGGTGACTCGCAATACGTGATGAAAGCTTGCCGCAAGGTGTACCGCAGGTTCTGCAGGCGGTTGGCCTGGTCCCGCGGCAGCAAGAACTCCACCCAGCCCTGCAAAAGGCTCGCGGAGACGTCGGCCGAGCCCAGCGCCCCCTGGAGCTCGATCGGGTCGTCTCCACAGAGGAGCAGCAGTGCTGCGGGCGAGGCGCGCGAGACGCCAGTGATGGAGTAGCGCTCCTCCACCTGCATCATCTCCGTGTAGCAGAGCCACTCCGCTGGCCCCGCTGGGCAGCCCTTGCCGTCCTTCCCGCCCTTGCCGTCCTTGCCGCCCTTGCCGCCGGTGTCCAGCACCGACTGCGGGTGCGTGGCCGCGGCCACCCGCCCTCCCCCCGCCTCAATCTTCTTCGCGGGGGGCCGGCGCGCGGCCACGTTCGGAAAGACGCCGGCGGTGACGACGGCCAGGATCACCGCCGTGTGCTGCTTGTGCCGGTTTGCAAACGCGAGCACCTGGTCGCTGAGGAGGCCCTGCTGCCTCAGCTCCTTGCGCATCTTCTCGCGCATGTCGATGACGCTCTGCACGCCCCGCGCGCTCAGGCTGTAGCGGTCGCAGACGCCGCGTGCAGCCTGCTCTCCCCCTGTGCTCCGGGCCTCCTCGAAGCGCTCCACGGCCCGCAGCAGGGCCACGTGGTCCGACTCCACGGGCCTCGTGAGCTCCTGCTTCACGCGCCGCAGCTGCGCGCTCAGCTGGCCGAAGCCCCCGGCGCCGCGGGGTGCGCCCTTGCCGCCCTCCTGCGGCAGCTGGAAGGGGTCCCGCCCAGAGGCGGCGCTCAGGATGGTGAGGATGGGGTCCAGGCAGCCCAGCAGCACGGCCCAGATCACGCTGCGAGCCTAGAAGAGAAAAACGGCATGAACATAAACTTCTGGCGCTCCGCGCGGATTTCTCGGATCTACGCTGGACCCCCTCCCTGGCGCGCGGAGCGCGCCAGGGGCGGCGCCGGAGGCGCCGCCGAGGGGGCCCAGCGCACATCCAAGAAATGCGCGCGGAGCGCCAAGAGTTCATGCTCATGGCGCTTCCTCTTCTTCGAGAGAGCCATCGACACCGGCAGCGGCAGGCTCGCGAGCTTCACCCCGAGGCAGCTGATCTCGCCCGCCGGGGTGAGCGCGCCCAGCACCTTCAGCAGCTCCACGGCGTTCCTGACGGCGATGGCGTCGGGTGGCTGCGGCGCCTGCGCGAGCCACCCGGCAATGCCCGCGCCGCCCGCGCTCACCACGCCGTGCTGCGCCAGGAGGTGCGCCGTGTGCAGGCAGACGTCCTCCAGGGGCGAGCGCAGCAGCTCCGGCTGCCGGAAGGCCTCCATCTCCTCGGACCGCTTCCTCAGAGGCCTCCTATAGATGGGGTCCGAGTAGATGTGGTCGGAGGATCTCGCCGCATCGCCGATGCATCGGCGATGCCTCGCCGATGCATCGGCGATGCGCAATATGCATCGGCGACGTCGGCAATGCATCGACGACGTCGGCAAGGAGAACATTCGGCTCCACATCGAGCCGCATCGCCGATGCATCGCCGCGGCGCGGTCCTCCGACCCCGTTCACTCGGACCCCGTCTTGGAGGCCCAGATTCCTGGAGAACAGGTGGTAGCAACGCCCCACCGAGGTTCTCCCGGCCCGCCCGGCGCGCTGCTCGGCCGAGGCCTTGGACACAAAGTTCGTGGCCAAGGTGCCCACCTTGAGGTATGGATCGTACGAGGTCTCCTTGGCCCGCCCCGTGTCGATGACCACGTTGACATCTTCGATGGTGATCGAGGTCTCCGCGATGTTGGACGCCAGGATGATCTTGCGAACGCCCGGCGGGGGCCGCTTGAAGATCGCGTTCTGCTGCTCGCTGCGTATCTGCGAGTGGCAGGGCAGTATCTCGAACCGGCTCGGGTCCAGCGACTCGTGCAGCCTGCGATTGGTCTGGTCGATGTCGCCCCAGCCCGGCAGGAACACCAGGATCGCACCCGCCTCCGCCTCGGGGGCCTCGCTCGCCTCCCAGTCCAGCTGCGCAATGATAGAAGAAGAAAAAGCGCCACCAACATAACCTGTGGCGCTCCGCGCGGATTTCTTGGATCTGCGCTGGACCCCCCCTCCCCAGCGCGCGGAGCGCGCCAGGGGCCGCGCCGGAGGCGCCGCCGGGGGGGGGGGGCCCAGCGCGGAGCCAAGAAATCCACGCGGAGCGCCCAAGAGCTTATGTGCGTGGCGTCTTTTGGTTCTTCGGGATGAGGCCGTCGATGATGGGGACGTCGTACGCCGTGCCGCGGCCCTGCTGCAGCACGTCGTGCTTGCGGCACCCGTCCTCCAGGCGCTCGGGCGTCAGCGCCTCGTGGAGCCCGGCGCCGTAGCCGCAGACCTGGTCCGGGTGCCTCTCCTGCTGCGCGACCTGCCTCTTGAAGTCCTTCTCGTCGCGGACGCGGCCCGCGGCCGCGAAGGCGGGCCCGAGGTGGGGCCGCAGCTCGGGCGTCTGGTGCAGCAGCGCTGCCACGTCGTCGAGGTAGAAGCGCTCGACGGGGAAGGTGCGGCCGGGGATGCTGATGGTGGCGCAGCCCGGGAAGTACTCCTGGAAGACCTCGAGCTGCAGCGTGGCGCTCATGAGGACCAGCCGCAGGTGGGGGCTCTCCTCCATGAGGCGCTTCAGTATGATGAGGATGAAATCGCCGTTCAGCTCGCGCTCGTGCACCTCGTCGAGCACAATGTGCGTCAGGCCCTGCAGCTGGGGGTCGGCCAGCAACCGGCGTCGGAAGACGCCGGTGGTGCAGTACGTGCAGCGTGTCTCGCGCGAGGTCCTGCTCTCCATGTGTATCGCGTAGCCGACAGTGCCCCCGACCGCCTCGCAGCGCTCCTGCGCGACGCGCTGCGCCAGGGAGGTGGCCGCGATCCTCCGTGGCTGCGTCACCACGACCCTGGCGGACGGCGAGGCGTCGAGGATGTACTGCGGGATCTGTGTGGACTTGCCGCAGCCTGGTCGGTGGGTCAAAGATGGGGTCCTGAGCGAGAGCGTCCTGAGGGATAGGAAGGGGACCAAGGGAGGATCTAATTTGTTTGAAGCACCTCATCCTTGGGGCCCCATCCCTCAAGACCCCATCTTTGAACCACCGACCTGTCTCCCCTGCGATCAGCACCACCCGCCGGCGCCGCAGCGCCTCCAGCACCTGAGGCATGAAGGACCCTGAGATTCCGATCCAACCTCTTAGATTTTTTCGAAACACAAACCCCCGACCTCTCGACCACTTCCCCCGGAACGTTTTTTTCATCTCGCGACGTATTTTGACGGTCCCGAGGCCTGGTAAGGGCAGCGAGCGGCCGAACATGAGAATTACTTCCGTCTCGATGGATATGTGTGAATCCGACGACGCGACAAGATTGCAACAGCGCGAGAAGTCACGATCAGAGCTCCAAACCCGATCTTTCTGCGGCATGGTTCGAGCCGGACCGCTCTTTCCAGGGCCCCAGAGCCCAAACTCTGGCGAAAACGCCGCTTATAAAAACCCTGCACCTCCTGGATACCAGGAAAAGCGAGTCCGGAAGGAAAGGTGGCCCTCGACAGGGCCTTCCCCCGGAACGGGCCCTTCATCCTGGACCGATTCTTGCCTAGGCGGAGCGCCCGGGCGAGAAGTGAGAAGGAGAAGGCCTTCTCAGAAGGCTCGGAAGCTCCCAGGCCTTCTCAGAAGTTTCTCCCGCCTCCCCCGAGGACGCGCGAAAAACTCTCAGAAGGCCGGAGGGCCTCTGAGAAGTCCCGCCTCCTGAACAGGCCTTCTCCTTCTGACTCCCCCCCCCTCGCTCGCCGCCGATTGACGGCCCCAGGGAGGGCCGGGGCCCCGGGAAGCCACAAGCGGCGAAGGAGCCCAGGGCCCGTTCCCACCGGGGCCCGCTCATCGGAGCACGGCGCGCGTGGGCAGCGGCAGCTCAGCATAGGTTTCCAGACCCCTCCCGGTGCTAAGGCCCAGTATAAGACGACCGGCGTGCTGACCCCCCCCCCCCTTCGCGACAAGAGGTGCGTCGCGCATTCGTCGCCCGTGCGCCGCCCGTGCGTCGGCCGCCGAATAGGCCACCCGCCCTCTCGAACGAGCCCAGGAGGCGCCTGGGCTCCAAACCCGGATCCCCTCGAGACATAAAACAGGACGAAACACCGGTTCAGGGAATGGGTCGAGACCTCGGGGAGTCGACTGAATGAAAAGAGCATGACGTCGGGGGTCTGGGAACGCATCAGTTTTCCGATCTGCGTCCAGCCGTGGCGACGAGTGGGCCCCCCGAAGGCCAACTACCTCCCCAGACATCTGGCGTCGCGATGCTTTCGAGGCGCGGGCCCCCGACAACTCGACCACTTCCCTGGGGCCCGTTTTTTGCCCCGAGTCGGTTTCTGCCAGACCCGAGGCCTGGCATGGGCTCCAAGAGACCGAAAACGATGAAAATCAGTCGACACGATTTTTTCGAGACGCCAGATGTCTGGGTCCGAAGACGCAAACAAAAACATGGAACACAAATCACCACTGGAGCCTCAGACCCGGCATGCTCTGCTCCGGATCGCTCGGCGAGGGTCCAGCCAGGGCCGAAGCCCGGCGAAACTCCCGGGGAAGACGCTCGAAATCCGGCGAACCTCTGGAAAACTAATGCGGGATGACGATTAATAAAAGATGGGAGAGAACGATTAAAAACAAAAGAAGTCTTCTGCTATTTCTGCACAATCTTCTGGCTGGAGGAGAACGATTTAAAAGATAGCGTTCCAGCCCGCGGCCGGTTCTTTCTAATCGTCATCCCGTGCGCCGCCGCGTGAACCTTCATTAGGGAAGACCTCCGGTCATTTACTAAATTAGGGAAGACCTCCATTAGTCCATTTTCCATTCGGGAAGACCTCCGGTCATTTACTAAATTAGGGAAGACCTCCGGTCATTTTCCATTAGGGGAGACCTCCGGTCATTAGGGAAGACCTCCATTAGTAAATGACCCCCGGTCATTTACGAACCGTCATCCTCCATTAAGGGAAGACCTCCGCCTCGCCTCTCGTCGAGGCGCCAGGACGTCCAGGTCTCGAGGGCCTCGTCGTCGCGGCTTCGCCGGACCACACAGGGAGGCCTCCCACGCGGCCGTTCGGGGCGGTCCGCCCTGACTCCGGATCCGCCCTACTTTGGGGAAATTCGTAAAGTAGGGCTCGGAATGTCCGCCTTACCTTTCAGGCCCCGCTGGTGCCAATTTCCGCCCTGCTTTTCTGCTGCTGTTTCCGCCCTACTTCTGTGGATGTTCGGTCTATTTTATGTTGGGTGCAGAAACTTCCGCCCTGCTTGTTCGGCTCCTTATAGGTGGATTTCCGATGCAATTTTAAGTTGGAAAACAAGCCAATGTAGGGCGGATCTGGAGTCAGGGCGGGCATCCCCATGGAACGCCTCGGCGAGGCGCAGGCCCCCGGAAGGCATCCCGAGGCTGGACAAATAGGCCGCGAGCCGAGGAGAGCGCGGCCAGAGCTCTCGAGCCTCGGGCGCCACGTCGAGCCTCGGCTTACCAGCCTCGAACGTATCCCTATCCCTAGGAATGACACGCCAAAAGGCGATGACAATCTTAGGGATTCCCTGACTCCGGATCCGCCCTACTTTGGCTTCTTTTTCCAACTTGAAATTGCGTCGGAAGTCCACCTATAAGAGGCCGAACAAGTAGGGCGGAAATTGCTGCACCCAACATAAAATAGGGCGGAAATCCACAGAAACAGCAACAGAAAAAAGTAAGGCGGAAATTGGCATCAGCGGGGCTTGAAGAGTAAGGCGGAAATTCCAAGCCCTACTTACGAATTTCCCGTAAGTAGGGCGGATCCCGAGTCAGGGTATCCCTAAGAATGACACGCCAAAAGGCGAGGACAATCTTAGGGCTTCGCCCTCAAGACATAAGGGAATCCCCAAGATTGGTATCGTGATGAGGCGATGCCGAACATGGGGACAGGGGCATGTTCCAGGCTGGTAGTCGGTGCAGCGTCGGGCCCTCGACAGCCCCGTGGCCCCAACCTCTGTGGCAGGTCGTGGGGGCCTCCCGTGCCATCCTGCTGGCTCCTGCGGATCGACGCTGGCCATCACAGATCAACATACCTCCAGGCTAACTCGACGCACATCGGCGCTTTCTCCTCGACTGCAAGATGCCTAACGTACGCTTCCACACACCCTAGAGACGGAATCCCAAGGAGATACAGTCGGAGCTGGGACAGAACATCCCTCAAGAACATGAAGCCCTCCGCGGGCTAAACTGAAGAGTATTCGAGGATGGCCTCCACCAGGATGCACAAGAACGTCCAGCAGGCACGAATAATATCAAGGCACCCTCCCCGAACCGACCTCGGTCTGATTTCTCGGTCAGGCTGCACACGGCACCCATGATTTGCTACGGCAGAGGGAAACAATTAGTGGACACCCCCCCCCCGCCCCCCGAAACTCAAAGTTGGCACGCGCGGGGAGGACTGCGGTCGAAGTGCAACTCATCCAGTCCACCGCCAACATGGATCATTCGGGCCGGCATTGACAGTGGCTTTGTGGGATGAGTGTTCGCCCATGTCTTCCGAGGCCTGTACCGAAAGTGACGAGGGGCCCCCCCGAGGGCCGCCTATACAGTCGGCCCGTGTGGTGAGGATGCGCGGTCAGGATTTAGAGGGCCTTGGAGGCCCATCTCGAAGCTGTTCGAGCGGGGCGCGGCCCACGGGCCGTGGCCGGGGATGGGACCGAGGAGGCAAAAGGATGCGGGGGCACCCTTGGGAAGGTTGCCCGGCCCTGCCGTGCGGGTCGACTGCATCGAAGGCGACGAGGGCAGCCCCCGAGGGGCCAGCACATGGACAATACATGTTCGAACCCTGACACAGCCGAGGGAGAGTCCAAGTCATCCCCACGCCCCCCCCCGATATCAATGTCGATCTCGGCAAAAGGCGGTGCCTTGGGGTTCGAATATGTTCCTGTCCACTCACGCCCCCCCCCCCCCGTCGTCACGCCATCCGTGTGAATTTCGGGGGGCCTGCGAGCACTGTAAGCCCCTGACCCTGGTCTCCGAGTCGGACGGGGACACTCTCCAGCACTCGACGCGAACATTAAAAACCCACATTTGCCCAGCCAGCACCCCAGGCTGGGCAGGTTCAAAGGAGGAGGAGGGGGAAGAGGAGGTGGAGGAGGAGGAGGAGGAGGAGGAGGAGGAGGAGGAGGAGGAGGAGGAGGAGCAGGAGGAGGAGGAGGAGGAGGAGGAGCAGGAGGAGGAGGAGGAGGAGGAGGAGGAGGAGGAGGAAGAGGGGGGCCTGGGGGAGCATCTTGGGACACAGGGCTCGAACAAAATGTCCGTGCACGGGCCAACTCTGCACACCCTCGAGCTTGAGGGCTCCGCCCCGGCGCACCGCGCCCACGCTCTCCCAGGCGGGCAGCTGCCGCCGGCGGGCCTGCACCTGCGCGTACGCGGGCCTCGCCCCGAGCCTCGAGGCCTGCGGGGGGCGAGGCAGCTGCACCAAACACACTGCGAGGGCCGTGGGCCCAGACCCCCTCGACTCGTGAGCAGGATCACGACGGGCCGTCTTGCACCGGTTTCGGCCTCCAGGGGCCCCCGCTGGGCCTCGGGACCGTCGAACAGCGACTCGGGAAGCGGTCCTGGGGAATGGGTCGAGACCTCGGGGGGAAGACGTTATGCACAAATTATGACGTCGGAGGTCTTGGAACTGTGATGGCATCCGGCGTGTCGACAAGATCGAGGCGCGGGTTTTGAATCGTTTTCGGCCTCTCGGGGACCTTCTACCAGGCCTCTGGGCCAGCAACAACGAGTCGGGATGGAAAGCCAGTCCCGGAGAAGTGGTCGAGGGATGTCAAGAGCTTGGGGGCACGTGCCTCGAACAAATCGCGACGCGGGATGTCTGGGGCGGCCGAAGCCTAAACTCTCGGAGCTCCGCGTTGGCTTCTTTTGGCTGTGAGCTGCTCTGGCCACGGCGAGCCTCGGCCACGGACAGGGGCCCCGACCTGGAACTCAGGACGGGTCGACGATAACGACGGCGACGGCGACGACGACGACGACGACGACGACGATGGGGGCCTACGAGAAAACCAGGGCCCCTCCTGGCCCTGTCCTAGCCCTTCCTTCAGCGTCTGGTCCGTACATCCGGCGACCTGCTTTTTCGGGGCACGGGCCCCTGACCTCTCGACCGCCTCTCCGGGCACGG